TATATATACTAGATGACCCGACAGACGTTGTCCTGTACCCACAACTACATTTTTTTCATGTCCTATACTAATATTTACCGTTCAGTTAAAAATAATAATTATTGTTTTTCGAATTACTATTTACTCAAATATATGAGTGATGTTAAATGTAGAACTGCTTCAAATAAAATGATGATTCTCAATTCCCACAGTTAACACTTTAATTATCCCTTTAACAAATATTAAAATATGTTCAATAAAATTGTATATTAAAAATTATATACTGATACAAATGGCATTCATAAACTATTTGATTCTAATGAAAAGAATATTGTATGCGTCTTTTATTTGCATAATAGCTCACTCATTTTACATGTAGAAATACTCATGTTAAAGCTTATTTTGAGGACTATAAAACCCCATTTTTATATCTAGCTTAATATTGTTCCTAGAACACTATGAAACAGTGATTAATTAAGATATTAATTTATATAATTTTGATCATTTCATTATTTTTATTAAAATGTATGTTTCTGAAGATATTAACAAACAACGCTTTTTTTTCTTTAACGTTTAGTTAAAAAATAATAATCTGTAAAATTGAATTTTAATGAAGGGCATGTAATTACATTGAACTGACATTTCACTACCGTGAGACGCATGCACAGAACTGCATCACTCATGTTGACTCTATTTTATCATATTATTTTAATTTTTGGCACATCTCAGCAGCTTTTCGGCAATAATAATGCAGACATTACATTTTCCTTATTTATAATCATGAATTTATTATATTTTGATATTGCCTTAGCCTATAAGTGAATAGAAATGTTTGGCAAATGACAGTTGTCATTTGTTCTTGATGTCAAACCATGCCTTAAATATTTTCAAGGTCAATGATAAGCCGTTTTTTGTAATTTTTACCATTTATTTCTATAATCTAACTATATTTCTATGAATTTAAAAATTCTAGAAAATTTCCCGAACAAACTTCAGGAAGATTCATGACAATCCGAATTATAGTTTAGGAGGATTAATCATTCATACATAGTTACAGAAGAATTTTATATATAAGATATGCACATATAAATTTATTTATGTGTGTGGTCTGTGTGGGTAGTGGGTATGTCAATTTATCTAATATTCACATAGGCATCTAGGTATTTATTTTAAATTATTGATCACTTAATGTATGTTTGTTTTGTACCTGCGAATAGGCCGATAGTAAATCCCGTGACAAAACAAGATAATCTCCGAGTGTTCTAAGCACATAATAAATATACACATTTATAAATATATACATATATTCATACATTCATATACATTCTGGTCTGGTATCCTTTTGAAGATGATCATTATCGTGGTTTGCCGAAGTAAATTTAATATTTAGTCCGTCGGAGCGAACTGACGTGATCTCAAAAGACAAAGATCTCCTTGGCACTCTCTTTGCTCTTTGAGAGGGAATATACTGACAAAGAAGTTCCGATACTTGTAATAATTGTATAATATATAAATAGTATAGTAGAGAAATCGTTATATCAGAATTTTCCTCAAGTCGAGACCTAGTTTACTCGTCAGTGTAGTTTTGTTTTTTATTTTATGTCGAATAACAGAACATCGACTAGTCAGCAAGTTCAAAGAATTTTTCTGTTATTTTCTTGTCGAGATTCAGTTTCATATTTTGCTCCTGTTGCAGTGTTACTTGGTATTCAGTTTGCAATATCTCCTACTTTTACGTAAGATTCCTACTATCTGCATTCTTTCAGACTGTCTATTTTACCTTCATTGATAACATGTAGAAGACACTTTTTACAAAGGATTTGGTAATATGGATTTATCCTAATTTTCTTTGTATAATTACTTTATATTTCCTAATTGAATAAAATTCTGACGGAGTTCTGAATTTTTTTCTTAAGTACTCTATCTTTCATAAAAACAATTTCTTAAAATTTAACATTTAATTGACTTCCCGTAGGGAAAATTATAATTTTGGGCCGAAAATCGAAAATTAAAATTTTTGCATATCTTCACGTTTCAGAGGTTTCTGAACACTTTGGCATACCTCAGAAAAAATGTATGTGTCTGTGTGTATGTGTGTGTGTTTTTAGTATCTACGCATTTTTTCGTCCACGTTTTCGGGCGAATGGATCAACCTATTTGAATTATTCAAAAAGCTATCGATTCCTATTGATAGGGAGATGTGCTGATTAGTTTTTGGCAAAGGCAGGTCCAGCCGTTACGGAGATACAGAGCAAAAAGTGTAGAAAATACAAATATGGTTTTTGAGAGAACTAAGTATCCGATTTGAAAAATTTAAAAAACTTTAATTTAACAAATTTTTTTTTAATTTTCAAAAAAAAAGTTTTTGAATATCAAAAATGTTTACACATTATTCATAATAATCTATTTGAAAACATTTAATATTCCTCGAATATTTTATTAAGTTACGGGAAGTTCCTGCAATTTGCCTTAAGGCACGCTGCCACACACCACTAATTTAACCCTATTTTGGGTCTAATTTAATTCATTTTCACTAAATAGAGTATGTATTAATATATTTAGATAAATATTTTGTTAAATTAAATAAATTTACTTTTTGATGACAATTTTATTTAACAAGTAGGCCAAAAGTGCTCTCAACCTAGAACTAGGCTTCGTTTGAGGTTAGAGTGCGATCGGCTTTGATGGAACATTAGTCAAATAATTTGATTCTTTCTTGAAATTATATTATTCTTTTTCTCGTAAGGCATAAACTTATTGAAGATGTTAGTAAAAGTTTCTAGGCTCTTCATTACTGTCTAATTTTTAAAATAAAATCTAATTCTAAAATAGAACTATTAAGGAGGCGTTTATTAGTGAGGTTTTTAGGTGAAGGGGTGGTTCGACAAAAAATCACGAAAAATCACATGGTGAAGGGAGGGGTATAATAAGTTATTACATATATTTATTTTTCACATGAGTTTAAAAAAAAATAAACTGTTTTAAAAAAAAATGCAAAAGTTTTTCTTTTTTTTTTGTAACTAAAATTACCTAGTGTTCGGTGGGGGAGGTGGGATAATTTCTAATATCACTACATATCAGCAGGGGGGGTCCCAAAATCCTTAAAAAATCGATCACATGATAAATGGACGTCCTCTAAGAAACTTGATGTTTTTGATGGTTATATAAGTTAATATGATCAATATATTAGTTATGATTTCTTAAATACCTTCAACAATAAATGAATTAATAAAATGTAAATTAAAGTACTTTTTTAATAAATCTTTGCTTTTATAATAATAAATGCAATTCTATTTTCTAGAGGTTCTAAGATCAGCTTCTGGAGCTTCTGCAAGTGACGTCATCAAACTGTACGACCAATCAGGACGTTGCGTTCAAATCACGCCGAATTTGAAGACTGAGGGTCAAAATTATCATCTGCAGGTAATAATAAAATATTATTTAAGTGCAGTATTTATAAGGTGACCATATTTTTTCAAGTAAAAACCGAGACGTTAATTTTTAGTTATTTATTTATTTATTTATTTATTTGAATATATAGCCCACAGATTTCTTCCAAGAGAATTTAAAAATACAATTAAAATAATGAATAACAATTAAAATATATACAAAATTACAATATATAGTTATTAACATAAAATGGTTAACATAAAATTACATATAATGCAGAATGTAACAATATTATTTATAAACAGAATAAGATAAAATAATGAGATATTTGAAAAAAAAATAAAAAGGTTAACTTGTGCAGATGGAGATTATTTGATTAGGTGAAGTGTGGTGAATATCTATTTTATTATTAATTAAGTTAAAGTTAGAGGACATGTAAAATAGGCGAATTTAAGAGAGAATTAGATTTAGGAGTAGGATAATTGAAAAATAATTGTGAACGCGTAGATAGCCTTGGAACGTTAAAGGATAGTTGATTAAGAATAAGAGGGCAGTCTATATAATTATTGCAAAGTTTAAATAAGAACATAATTGTGCAGATAAATCGACGTGAGGCAAGGGAAGGAATACCAAATTCTTTTAGTAGAGTGTTGTGGTCAAAGCCACGTTCAGGGTAAATTTTATTTGTTTTATAATAGAGATATTTCAGAAATTTTCGCTGAACCTTCTCTATCGCATCAGAGTTGTTGATTTGATGAGGATACCAAATAATCAAAACAAAAAATCGAATAATCGAATTGAATTTGTTTACAATTTCTCAGTTATGGTGATCCGGGACAGTACAAGGGGGCAGGGGGGGGTACTTTAAAATAACAAATACTCTTGAAGAATGCAATAAACATCATTACTGACTTTTAGTAGAAACTTTATTATTCGATTATATGTTATAATATATCTTTTCTTTTCCGCTTTCAAACTTTTTATAATACTTCTTCGTTTAATTTTTTATATAATTATAAAAGCGTAAGTGCTAATTAAAAAAATAGCACTTATTCCAGGCATCAGTTAAAACGTTTTCATAATTTTTGTTATTTTTTGTCGATATTATTAATGTAAGAGGCTATTTTAAACCGCCTTTAGAATTTTGTATTCAGTAATTTTTTCATTCATAACAGGTTTTTTATGAGCATATTTTTTCACATAACATTTTCAGATATTTGATGTCATAGTTGTAGTTTTATTATCAAATGAGGGCAAAAATTCAATTTAAGTCTATACTTATTGAAAACCCGGGACAATCCAGGACAATAGATCTAAATCCAGGACAAATAATGCATTTAAAAAAAAACGGGACACAATGTGGAAATCCGGGATTGTCCCGGCCAAATCGGGACGTATGGTCACCTTAGTATATATTAATGTAATTTTTTTACAATTATCAATTATCCTTTCCCCAGGTATCAAAATACCCAGTATCGCCAAATGCATCAAAAATCTCATCACCGGCCTCGAAATTCATCAACTCCGAACTGTCGCACGAGTTAGACGTCATCTTACAGAAAATAATATCACTAGAACGTTGCCTATTCCCACTGCGAACCGGTCTGCCATCGAAGCCATCGTTTCACGAAGGCGTCCTGAAGAGCCCCAAACAACAGAATCAATCGCCCATCACCGCCACTAGTCACGGTTCGAATTCTAGTCATAACAGCAACTGTGATATAAGGGAGGAAAAGGAAGAAGGGTTGGATAGGCTGAGTGGTAATCAAAGAGGCGGTAATAAGGATGGTTCAAGGGAGCAATTAAATAATAAAAATCACTGTGATACTACTGGAGCGAAGGACAATCAAATTATTAGTATTAGTAGGGCTTCCAAGGATTTGGAGGTCGCCAGGAGCTATTCGGAGGAGGAGAGGGAGAAGAGGGACGAACAGGAGAGGCTGATCAAGCAGCTCGAAATGCTGAGCACGAGGATACAGGCGCTGACGACGAGGGCTAACGAGATCGGAGCCGAATGGATAGGTAAATAGAATGGACAGACAATTGTATATATATATATATATATATATATATATATATATAAGTAGTAATCTGCCCGAAGGCAGGTCCATGGTGTGAGTGCACCACAAAATCAATGATTTGCTTCACCTCCCTTGTTTATTTTTCCTATTGTCATTTTATTACAATTAATTGACGACTATTGATCACTTTTTTATCATTTCTATGATTTTTTCTTTACAAACTGCTATTTTTATGCTTCCTGGTTTTGTGCTTAGGATTTCAATTCCCTATATTTCCTCTTCTCGCATAAGTCGTCAATCATTTGCATTCTATTTTACAAGGACGATCGTGCAGGAGGCACTCTTTTTGCAGATATTATCCGATTAAGTTTCCTTTTCTTTTAGGATTATGTCAGTAAAGTCCTTTTTTTCGCACACTCTTCAAATAATTAAAAAAAAAAACAAAAAAAAAGACAAAAAATATGATAATTTGTTTAACAAATTCCAAATCCAAAACTTGTCTCGATGGGAAGAGCTTTGTAAATCTTTTCATTTATTTTATTTTTAATTTTATTAATTTAATATTTATTACAAAAGGCGTTGTGATATTAATTGGTGTATCATATTTTTGTGTTTTTTCTATGTTTTTTTTAATTATTTGTACGCACTGAAGATGGGTCAAATCAGGACCCGAAACGTCTGATAATGAAGACATTTTTTGACTACGGCTGACCCGGCAAGCGTTGTTTTACATAAAAAATATTTCTAGTATGAAATGTTTAGTATAAAAATAACTAGATGATGGCAAATGTGTATATAAGTGCAAGAGGCAGTTAACAATATATGAATAGTTTACCTACTGCAAAGCATGCCACATATAAATGGTCCTAGGTCATATTAATATAATAGTCTTTGCTAGAGCAAACCTTCGAACTTTTTCGAAGTAAAATGAGTTTCATGTATTTTCAATTATAGAAAATTAAAATACAGAAAATTGATCCCAATATTAAAAAAAAATGTTAGGGGTGGATAACCTTTGATAAAAAATAAATAGTGTTTTGAGGGAAAAAATTGTATGTATTTATGTAAAATGAAGAGAATTGACCGCAAAACTATAAATTAGTAGAGTTGGACAACCCATAATAAAAATAAATTGGTTTTTAAAAGTATTTAAGCTTTTTCTTTAAAGTAAAAAATCAGAACTTAAATTATGTCAAAAATATTCTATATTGGACTGAAAAAATGTTTGAATTACTAAAATGACTAAAAAAAAATAGGGGTGATGATGAAAAAGTAAAAATTTTAAGTTTTATGTATTTTTTAAAGCCACATTATAAAAAAATAAACAAAAAAAAATGTTTTATTGAATTAATTACTTAAATGGCTATAAAAAAAAATAGGGGTTGATGATGAAAAAGTAAAAATTTTGGGTGGTATGTATTTTTTAATGCCACACAAAAAATAAACAAAAAAATGGGTCTAAAAAATAAGGGTGAATAGCCCTTATCACTTAGGAATATGAATACGAATACGAATACGAATATAAAATTTGGTAAAAATGGGCAAAACCGTTTTGGAGGGAACGAGCATTGTGACATTGTAACTTACATTTTTTTTCATTAAAATAATTTGAGTTATGCCTGATTATAACACCCCAAGAGATTAATTTTATCTAATACAATTTATTTTAATTTATTAAATTTAGCTAAATGAATTAATAAACATTTGCTTTTCGACGATTGTCTTATTTCTAACCGGTAAGCCAAACGTGCGCTCAACCTGAAACTATGATTCTTTTCGGGTTAAAGATGAATGAACACAAACTATATCCTTACTTCAGATTATATTATTCATTTTTAAAAGCTTCAAATTTATATAATTAAATTAAAAATCATTTTCTTTTTGTAGAGTGTCTTATTTTACCATTAGGCTAAACGCACGCCTAGACCTAGACTTATCTAGTCGATTTTCAGACCTTCTGAATACGAATTTCTAAATAAAATTCGGTAAAAATCGGTAAAGCCGTTTCGGAGTGATATCGAAATTTCATAAGATGTATATATATACTATATATCATTTATTAAATTTGTGTCGTTTTTTTAGGTTGCGGTGTGGGTGTCCATTGCGCTGGTGCGTTCAGGGAACAATTTTCAAGGAGGAGAATCAGTCTGCCCAAACACACAGAGGTCAAAGCCAAATTTACAATGATATGGTAAATATACTTTTATATATCTATATAATCCATATTTATTTAGTCTAGTCGATACTTATATTAAATAATAAATTTTCCACGATATTTCTATGTTTAGACGTATTATATATGGTGGACGTATACCGAAGGGTTCTTTCAGGGGATGACGGGAATGTAATCTGATTTTTTGAAACCACTAGACATATCAACTCGACTTTGATTGATTTTTTTGTTCTGCAATATATATATATATATATATATATATATATATATATGAATATATATATATATATATACATCATTTACAATGATCATCTCGTAAAAAATGATAACGTCAAACCGAACATTTATAAATACCCATCCGTCTGTCTATGTACCTACATCGTCTCGGTTACGTTCGTGTTACGTGTGCGTTACGTCAAAAGCTCTAAGACGCTCTCGTGCATCCGTCCCCCGAGATTTTACCTCATACGTCAATTTAGATTAGACAGCCCTTACGTCGAAGCAGAAATATTGTTTTCCCGTCGTTTTTCTACGAGAGATTCGCTTTTCCGCATGTTTTCTTAACAATTTAAGAATTCATTTGAGAATTGCGGATTTAAGAATATAGTTGGAAAAGTTGGAAGACGTAATTCGACTAGGAATTGTTTGAGGAGAAATTTAATGGACAGGAAACAGATTGTTATAATTTAATAAAGAAGCATAAATTGCTATTGTGAGTGATAGGAGGAAAAGTAATTATGCTCTTTAAATTTAACTTACTCTAAATTCAGAAGTCAATAATGGCTTATAAAATATTTTTTATGGCTTAAAAATACATGAATCTCTCTAAATATTTATTATAAAATCCACACGTTTCGTCTATAGTCCTTGCCTTCATTCAATCTAACTAACATTGAATTTAAAACTAAAAAAAACAATATTGTGTTCTAAATCGTTGATATGTTCTGTAAACATTGTTCTAAACTGTCTAGGATTTTTTTAAATTATTTTTTTACTGCTGAAGTCGTTTCATTGAATTTTGGTTAGTTTAACCAATATAAATCGATATCGTGTGTGATAGGAATGAAGAGAATTATGTTGTTTTCAATTTAACTTTCTATAAATTCAGAAATCAATAATGGATTATAAAAGATCTTTCTACAGTTAAAAAAACATGAATTTTTTCAAAAAATTATTATAAAATCCACACGTTTCGACTATAGTCTTTGCCTTCACTCAATCTAACTAACATTGAATTTAAAAACTAGAAAAATCAATATTGTGTTTCAAAGCGTTAATGTGTTCTGTAAACATAGTTTTAAATTGTCTAGGATTTTTTAAAATTATTTAATCTGATTGAATGAATCTGACCAGATTTCTAAGGCGTTCGATATTAAAAAGAATTTTTGTTTTAAAAAAAAATAGTGTTATCATTGTGCTAAATTTGTTGAGTAGCCCTGATTTATAAAATAGTTTTTACTAAGAAAAATAAGTTTGTTTAACTACATCAGTATGAGTCTTAAAGTCAGGTTAATTTACCATGTTCAGTAGAATTGTTAAGTTTATGTTTTTATTAAATTTTATAATAATTTTTCAAAAAATATTTATTATAAGTTATGTTAAAGTGACTTATATATTATTCATTGTTTGCTGTTTGTGTGATTTTTGTTGTTTAAATTGTTTATGCTCAGAAAATGAGTTATGTAGAGACTAAAAATTTTATTTAAAATCATTTTAAACCTAATTTGTTTTTATATTAATAACTTTAATACGTCTACAGATTATAACACAAAATATGGTATAATAAATATTTAAAATTTACAGAGCAATAAAAAAAATATTTTACAGTAAGGTAAGAGTAATATTGAAAATGCATATAAGTATCACTAAACATTTTCAAAACCAATAACATAAGTATTATATGATTAATTAATACTTAGAGCTTCTCAAAAAAACTTCTCTATTACTATGATATATTTTTTATATTCGTGTATAGACTTCTTTAAATTACAGTCTGGCGCAATACAGATGTATATACTTAAAATAAAAGGAAATTTCCATTAAATCGTTGCAGTAGAGCATTACAATTTAATGTCTCCCATTGTCAGGTCAATTGCCCGACTATTTTCATCGTGTTTTCTACGTCCAAGAGACAACTATATAGATCGAAATCTTTTTTTTACATTTTCTCACAAACACTTTATAAAGCAATAAAAAATATCTATCAATAATACAATAAAGTCTTTGGACAGGTCCTTGAGCTGAGTTAAACTACAACTTATTAAAAATCATGAATTTATTATACATATTCTAATATTGTCTAGGCTCGTAAGTAAATTGAAATTTTTGGCAGATGACAGTTTTTATTTGTTTTCAATGCCAAACAATGTATAAAATATTTTTAATGTCAAACAATGACATGTCGTTTTTGCATTTTTTTCCATTTATATTGCAGAAAATATTACAATATTTTTATAATGACATCCTAAAAAAAAATTCTCAACAAACTTTAGAAAGGTTTATCAGAATCCGAATAATCGTTTAGGAGGAGTATATTTATATACATCATCAAAGAAGAATTTTATATATAACTAGCTGACCCGACAAACTTTGTTTTGCTAAGTTAGGTATTTTCTAAACAATTTCTAGAGAATCAAAAAAAATAATACTTTATTTTAGGAGTGTAAGGATGTATTGTTTGAATGGTACAGACAATGAGGTATTATAAACACAATAAACCCCAAAGTCTACTGGTATAATAATGAATTATATAATTTATAATAACAATATTCGTTTGTCCATATTTTGTTAATACAATCAAACAGGAAGTTTTATACACTTTCTATAAAAATATGGTATAATTCAATCCAAGTCTTTTTTAGTCTTCAGCGGTGGTCAATGTTCAGTTGGTCATTGTTGCCCCACACAAATGTAAGTTTTTAAAGTTGGTATATAAAGAAAACTGTTAAATCTCACTCAAAATTGACATTACATTTTATAAAACAATTAAATAGTGTATAGTTTATATACTTAATATAAAATTTATATTAAGGTCTCGTGAACTAAATCACAGAGCTCATAATCCAAAAAACTAACAACAAAAGGAAATACTTTAGTTGTGGATTTTCAAAGATTACCGTTTATCTCCCGATAGTAAAGTCATAAGAATCAAGGTTATTACTGGTTATACATCTTTTTCCCTCTACTTTCAAATATTGTTGTTAAACAATACTTGACTTTACTGGTTTTTGACACATCGCTGGTGGACCTTTTTAACCCCGGACCTTCATATATTATCTATTTATCACTATCTATTCTTGGATAAATTCTGGGAAATTATAACTGGGAAAATGTTATTCGACAAAATGTCTATTTGATCGATAAAAATTTAGGTTCTGAATCTGAAAATAGCATAAATGAAAAATAATATAACTTAGAAAATGTTTCATAAATACCAATGAATATTTAATTATACAAATGAGATCTTTCCGAGCGCGGTGTTTTAGAAAAATATGCCAAAAAGTGCATTTTGCATATTAACATTTCAAAAAAGTTGATATTTTGAGTTTCTAGTAACACTTACGGCCCGTTTAATAACGTTTTTGTGTATATATAAAACTACAAACAAAACTACTTATTACAATTTGATCATAATTTAATAATATTCACGTAAAATGTCTGTCAAAAACGTTTGACATTTGACGTATTAGCCAGCGTCCATTGTTTCATTTAAATTACGCTTCTACAAAAAATTTTAAATAAAAATATAAAGTTTCTACGCAATTTTGTAATATTATCTCACCTTTCCGACCTTCTCTGGATTGGCACGAATTTTTCAAGACCAAGACTGGCCAAATCGCTTTAGCCGTTTTCGAGTTTTACCGAATCATTTGATCGAGAGCTCCATTTTATACAGAAGTTCTATGACGGCGGTTTTTGTTCAATCCTGAACAATGCAATGCATTTTCCGAATATCTGCGACTTTTAATGCCATTTTTATTGATTTTATTATTTTTATAATTATTAATTTTTTTTCTATTTTTTCCCCCAGTGACACGGCGAGTGCGACGTTTTCCCAGGAGACTCTGCAGTCGCTGCGGCTGCCCGCCTTCGACAGCTACGCCTGGTCGGACGAGCAGCTGCTGCTCCTGCTCCACGGAATGTTCACGGAATTGGAATTGACTTCAACGTTTCGGATAAAGGATGCCGTTCTTCGCCAGTTTTTGTACGAAGTCTATAAGCATTACAACGAGGTGCCGTTTCATAACTTTCGGCATTGCTTCTGCGTCGCACAAATGGTAAGGGAAATAGGAAATCATCTTCGAAGTACTTAGATACTTTTGTGGTACTGGACTTGTGCTTCAAATTTTTTTCATGTTTTCTTCTAGTAGTCTAGTCATGGGTCCTAGTTCATTCAGTTTTCCTATCATTTCCTCTGCCTGCAGAAGACACTCCTCTCTTATGTACTAGTTTTTCCCAGACAGTGGAATACTTTTCTCTTTATCCGAAAAGTCCGCAATACTTCTTCAATTATTTATTTTCCTTGTTCGAAATGTACAATTTTATCAGTTTCTTGTCAGTAGAGTCCTTATTTTATGCCCCGGGTGCAAAGTAGGGTTTATACAAAAACCGACATTTCAGAAAACCGGTTTTCGAATTGTAAGTTTCCCAGAAAACCGGTTTTCGAATTGTGAATTTTTCAGAAAACCCGTTTTAACCAGTTTTCGAATTTTATATAAAAAATCAATTTTTGCTCAAATATTCTGTAACAACAAAATAAATTTTTGGCAAATATAGTGTTTAAAGCAGTTTTGATTGAATTTATTTAATGTTCAATTTTATGAATAGGAAACTTTAATTTAATTTTAATTAGTAGAACAAAGAAATAATAGTTGATCTGTTATTCATGCATCATTTTCACACATGAGAATATAAATATTTTTATGATAGCGAAAGAAAAGAGTTCGAATAAATAAAAATAATACATTTTTAAATATAATTTTTTTCAATCAAATAAAAAAATAAAGACATACTTGTTAATGTCAATTTTAGTTCTAAAAACAATTAAACAGAACCCCGAGTTTAATTTATTTAGAACAATTTTAATTAACTTCCCATAGGGTAGTTATAGTAATGGGCCGGAAAATCGAAAATGAAAATTTTTGCATTTCTCGACGTTTTGAAGGTTTCTGAACATTTATAAGCCAAGGGCATACCTCAGAAAAAATGGATGTGTATGTGTGTGTGTGTGTTTTATATATTCGCATTTTTTCGTCCACGTTTTCGGGCGCACGGATCAACCGATTTGAATGGTTTAAAAAACATTCGATCTCTATTGATAGCGAGATGTGCTGATTAGTTTTTGGCAAAGGCAGGTCTAGCCGTTACGGAGACACGGAGCAAAGAGTGCAGAAAATACAAATCGAGTTTTTGAGAGTACGGAGTATCGGATTTGAATGATCTAAGAAAACATTCAATTTGTAATGATTGGGAGAAGAGGTGACTAGTTTTTGCAAAAGACAGGTCCCGCCATTTCGAAGATACAGAGCTAAATGTGCAAAAAATGGCAGTTTTTGAGTGAACTAAGCGTCCGATTTGAATGATCTAAAAAACTTTCTGCTTGTATTGACAAAACAATTGCTTTTGGAAAAAAAAATATTTCAAAATCTTTTTTTCTAATTTCTTTTTCTCAATTTTTTTTGTATATCGAAAATAATTGAGATTTTAATTTTAATTCTGGCTAAAGTTCTAAAGCTCACTTATATACTTTAAATAAATTATTTTAACTTTGTAATTCCATTTATATAACTCTTATAAATATTAGACAATTTTACAGTATTTATAATAATCTATTCGAAAACATTTAAAAACTTTCGAACATTTCGTTACTGTACGGAAAGTTCCAGAAATTTGTCTTAAGACACGATGCCACTAGTCTAATTTAAGCCCACCATTTTTCTTAATTGATCCCTATCGTGACAGTAATATCAGTCTGATAATAGTGATAATCCACAATCTTCCAACTATTGATATTTCATCAATATTTTCATAAGTTCAAATAATAAATAATCTTTTTTCAAAAATTTCATCACACTTTTTCATCTTTTTTTTAGATGTACTCGATGGCCTGGAAAGTTGATCTCATATCCCGATTGGGCCACCTGGAAGTCCTAGTCCTTCTAGTTTCTTGCATTTGCCACGACTTGGATCATCCCGGTTATAATAATATTTATCAAATAAATGCCAGAACGGAATTGGCCATTAGGTAAGATAAAAGATCATAATATATACAGAATATATTTTACATTATGCATTTATCGTTATAGATATAACGATATTTCGCCCTTGGAAAATCATCATTGCTCTGTAGCATTTAGGATATTAGAGTTAGCTGAATGTAATATATTAGAAGGACTTCCATCGGATACTTATAGGTAAGTAATGGACAAATACTTAATTTGATTGTCGTATTTATATTTTTTCATTGTTATTTTTTTTTTCTATCAAGGCAAGTTCGAGAGGGCATCATTCGATGTATCTTGGCAACGGATATGGCAAGGCACAATGAAATCTTAGCCCAGTTTCGGGACGTCACTCCTTGTTTTGATTATGATAATAAAACACACACAAATCTGGTAGGTACTGGTAATACATAAATTATTTTTAGTATTATTCACGCATATATTATAAAAAAAAATTTCTTATTTTAGTTATCGATGGTGATGATCAAAGTGGCAGATATATCGAATGAAGCTCGACCAATAGATGTTGCCGAACCTTGGCTGGATAGGCTATTACAGGTAAACTTTTAGTTTTAATTACTTGTTATTTTTTTGAATTATTGACAATGAAAATACTATCCTTTATTTTGTACTTTTTTTTATTTAAATTTACGTGATTATTCATTATTGTTACTAGATGTTAAATTATTTAGCAGTTGTAACAAATATTGTAATTAAAAAAAACTAGTGGGGCGCATGGCATCGTGCCTTAAGGCAAATTGCTGGAACTACAAAAAAAAATTTTTTTTTTTAAAGATTAACATTTTTGAAAAAAATTTACTCTGAAAAAATTAGATTTTTGAGAAACTATAAATTTTTGTCAAAAATTTACTTTACAAAAAAAAAAACTTTTTGAAGAAAAATTTATTTTTAAATATTTTGGAAATTCCGAACTTTTTTTCAAAGCAATCGTACTGCTTTAACTACATAGAGACGAAATATCGAAGCGCGTAAGCGCCGCGCCGCCGTCTAACGGATAAACATTGGTACGGAACTGATAGGAAAGTAAACAAAATTCATACTTATTGTAAAAATCTATAAAATATCTGATAATTTGATGTGCATATGTCTAATGATCATTTTTGACCGCCAGATGGCATTTTTTTTTACTTTTTTTATTAGATCTCCGAAACCGATAGACCTGCCTTTATGAAAATATGAACAGTTCTTCATCTTGTTAATACAAGTAAAATGTTTGAACGGCTAGACCTGCCTTCGCCAAAAACTAATCTACACGTCGTCTTATCAATACGCATCGAATGCTTTTTGAATTATTAAAATCGCTTCATCCGTGTTCCCGAATCGTCGACGAAAATTTGTATCCGAACACACACACACGCACACACAACACATCCATTTTTTCTAAGGTATGCTAAAATATTCAGAAACCTCTGAAACGTAAAGATATATAAAAATTTTCATTTTCGATTTTTTTTGCGATTACTATTACTTGCCCTACGGGAAGTTAATAAAAAAGATTGGCATGCCGGTGTGTGTGCGTGTGTGTGTGTTCGGATACAAAATTTTCGTCGAAGATACAGGGCAAAAATGCAAAAAGAGCAGAGCGCCCGATTTGAATGATTCAGAAACCATTTTATTTGTATTAACAAAATGGAAGAACTGATGGAATTTTTGGGAAACACAGGTCTAGCGGTTTCGGAGATACAATAAAAAAAGTGAAATAAATGCCATTTAACGGACAAAAATGATCATTAGACATATGCACATCGAATTATCACATATTTATAGATATTTTGATAATAAGAACAATTTTGTTTACTTTTTATGGGTTCTGTACCAATATTTATCCGTAATACTGAAAAGCGGCGCCCACGCTTCGATATTTCGTTTCTACGCAGTTAGCGTATTGCGATTGCTTTGAAAAAGAAGGTTCAAAATTCCCAAAAAGTTAAATGTAATAAAAAATCGAATTTTTAAAAAAGTCAATTATTTTCAAAAGTTTTAAAAAATCTCAAAATCTCTCTAAAAGAAAATTGAATTTTTTTTAAAATTTTAACTTTTGTACGGGAAGTTTTCAGCAATTTGCTCTAAGGCACGATGCCATGCACCATAGTTCAATTTCCATTTAATGTTTTTCTAGGAATTTTTTGCTCAAAGTGCTGCAGGAAAAACAGGAGGTCTTCCCGTAACGCTTCTTTATGGATCCTGATAAAGTCAGCAAGCCTTCAAGTCAAGTCAGGTTTATCGGACTTGTGTTATTACCTTTGTTTGAAGCTTGGGTGAAACACATGCCAGAATTACAGGTAGGTAAAATAAGATCATATTATATTTTTTATAGCAAACTAAATTTAATTAATAAATCATTTACCAGGATTTGATCGTCCAACCCGTGCGAGACGCTCTAGAGTATTACCGACGACTTAACGAAGCAACAAGGGAAGGCAGGTCTAGAAAATCTCTAGGAGATGGCTTAGAACCCGCAAACGCTTCCCAAAGCATCCACTCCCCCACAGGTTCTCAAACAGGCCCACAGACCACTCACAACGTCCGATCAAGGTAAGTCTGCTCCACAAGAGCAACGCACCAATAGAAAATCTAACATCAGATTCATTCCAGGCGCAGTTTGGTTCCAAGAATGTCTTTGTCGATATCTCGAAGCACCGAGACTCACATAGATGACAATCAAGTTATAACAATCGATCCTGCCAGCAAGACTGTCACCCCTGAGATGGCTCAGGATCACCATATTCCTTCGACTCATGATATCGAGAGGTTTATGAAAAACAGGAGGATGGATGAAGGTGATGAAATTGATGCAGATGATGGTAGGGAAGGAGCAGTTGATGATGATTTTGAGGAGAACGATAGCGGGGACTCGGAGACTGCGACGGAGGTTGAGGTTTCGGAGAAGACTTTGAAGTTCAAAATTGCTACGGAGGGCGGTGGCAGTAGCATGGATAGGAGGAATAGTAGGATTGGGTAAGAGATTAATATTAATAACTAGATGACCCGACAGAGGTTGTACTGTATCTTTGTCTACAATTTTTTAATATAATATACTAATATTTACCGTTTACCTAAAAATGATAATTATTGCTTATTAAATTACTCTTCACGCCGAAATGCATATACATTTATAATATGAGCGATGTTAAATGTAGAACTGCTTTAAATAAAACGATGAGTCTCAATTCCCGCACTAAATTGGAAATTGAAGTCTCTTAAACGGTAAACATAACAATAACTATAACATAACACTGGTACTTCATGTTGGATTAAATTAATTTCATTTTTTTATTATTTATGATATCCAAAATTGCATCTTTAACTTCTCCTAATCGATATCGTGAGGGTCGAATTGTATGTATTCATCTTTACTTTCCCATTTGTTGTTATAAAGTGATTTTTTTACGAATTTTAAAAACTTTGTAGAAAGATTAGTAAAAGATGCAAAGAAATTATATATTAAAAAAAAACTATATTGAAAATTAAATATCCGAATCTTGTGTTGGCGCCCCCTAAGGCGTGCGCTTGTATTTTTCGCATGCATCGCATTAAAGGTAGGACCGGCCCTGATTAATACTTAATTTCATATTTCAAGTGAATTAATTTGTCATATCTTGTTCATATGTGTATCATATACTGTATTTTATATTATTTTAATTTCTGGCACATCTCAGCTGCTTTTTGGCAATAATAATGTAGACATTTAATTTTTCTTATTCATAATCATAAATTTATTATACATATTCTAATATTGTCTAGGTTCATAAGTAAATTGAAATTTTTGGCAGATGATAGTTTTCATTTGTTTTGAATGCAAACAATGACATGTCGTTTTTTGCAATTTTTTCCATTTATTTCTACAATATTGCACATACATCCCAGTACTACATAATCACATATATCCTAGAAAATTTCCTTAACAAACTTCAGAAAGATTTATCAAAATCCGAATAATCGTTTAGGAGGAATAAACAGTGGTTGCTTGTGATTTAATATAAACTTTATATAATGGCAATAAAGCTCAAATTGATTCTACGTTTTAGTTAGAAAACGTTTGTATGTGAAAAAGAAAAAGTCTGTTTTTAAGGTTTTCCGGGCAATTATTCGACTTTTTCTCGTCGCTAGAACCATCCTTGAACTTTGACAAACATTTTAAAAAAAAAATTGGCCAAATTGGTCTATGCGTTGTTGAGTTATGCGCTTACCAACACATTTTGCAATTCATTTTTATATATAAGATTTGATCGATGTTTTACAATTACATTTACTTTATTTTAGTATCCCATCACGCAAAAATAGCCACGAACGTTGTACTCTAAGCCATGCATTCGGAAATGCATCTTATTCTTTGGATTTACAAAAATATGACTATCGAAGAGGTTCTTTGGGGCCCAGTTCTTCAGGAGGCAGTCTCGGAAACTTTTGTTCAAACTGCCAGACTTTGGAAAATACTAACAGATGCTGCAGGTAATAAATAATCAGCGACTAAGTAACATATTTCTTAAATTCCGGTAGGGTAAGATATTGTAATCGTCCAAAAATCGAAATTGGAAATTTTTGCATTTCTCGACGTTTTGAAGGTTTCTGAACATTTTGGCATTCGATTTCTATTGATAGGGAGTTGTACTGATTAGATTTTGGCAAAGGCAGGTCCAGCCGTTTCGGAGATACGGAGCAAAGAGTGCAGAAAATAATAAAATTTTCGTCTACGTTTTAGCCCGCAATTCTGATTCGATTTCGAAAATTCAAAAACCGTTCGAAAGATATTGGTTGGGAATCGTGCTGATTAGTTTTTGGTAGAGATCGGCCGGGCCGTTTTCTTGTGATAAAGTGTTAAAAAAATTTGGCGATTTTTATTACTATTTTTTTTGACGATAGATACCATAGTCTTATAGATCATACTAAAATATTACGGCTCTACGACAACTGGTTTAGCTTTAAAATTCTTCAAAGTTTGCAAAAATTAGTATCGTTTTTTTGGCGTTTGTCAAAATTAAAACTTTCATCGACGTTTTTTTAAAAACGCCTGAACCGATTTCAAAAATTTAAAAGCCCATCTATGTATTTTGATGTGGATTATCTTTTCTCAGTTTTCTGCGATTATCAGCTGAGCCGTTTCTTTGTAAATAGCAGAAAATTGAGAAATTTTTCGTCCACGTTGTAGCTCTCAAATCTGAATCGATTTTAAAAAATCAGAAACTTTTCGAAAGATATTGGTTGGGAAATGATACTGATTAGTTTTAGGTAAAAATCTACCGAGCCATTTTCTTAAAATTAACTGCTGAAAAAAAAAACAATTTGGCTGATTTCTATAATCTTTTTTTGTGTCAACAGATATCATGGCTTTATAAAACATACTAAAATGTTACGGCTCTACGACAAATAGTTTAATGTTAAAGACTCATCATAGTTTGAGAAAGTTTTAAAGTCAAAATTTGTGTCAAAAGTTGCTTTTGTGATGTGATGAGTCAAACATTATCAATAAAATAACAATTCATTAAAATTTAAAATAATAAGCAACAATTTTAGAGCATACAAGCACGTGGTTTTGTAATACAATTACAGTTAATTTAAATGTGTTTGAGAAAAGTCTATTCGAAATGGCAATGTTTAGATTTAATTGAAAGCGATAGCGAAACAGTTAATAAATTCATTTAAATATCTAAATTTCAATATCGATCTAGAAGACTATGGTATCTAACGTCAAAAAAAAAAATTCATAAAAATCGCCAAAAAAAATTTTAACACTTTATTACAAGAAAACGGCCCGGCCGATCTCTACCAAAAACAAATCAGAACGAATCCCAACTAATATCTTTCGAACGGTTTTTGAATTTTCACATTTCGGGAAGTTCATACAACTTGCCTCAAGGCTAAATGCCACTTTCAACTAGTTCAATTTTATTTTTAGGGTTGCTCGTAATAGTGACGGCAGTGTAAGATCACCTTGCAGCGACACTTGTCAAAGATCTCAAGGTTCAGCAGGATCTCATTCTGTTCGACAGATTAGTGAAGAATTTGAACCAGAAACTGAGGAAGACCAGAAACGATCAGACTCGGTAAAGCAAACTAAATCACCAGATCAAACCGATACTAAAACAAACTTATCCACGTCTGATATTCAGCAAAGTGTCATCCAGGTTCCAAAGGATGTAGAAACTAAATTAGAATCCAATGATGATAAATCTCAGGACCAACAACAAGCTTTATCACCAAATCCTGATGATTCCCCAACCAAACAGAATTTTGATGAGATAACTATCGACAAGACCATACCTGTAAAACAAGAACTGATCCAGCAACAACCAGCACCACCCCGAAGTCTTTTTGCACGTCTAAAAAATTTCACAGACCGCCTAAGTCTAAGTTTCGATAAACAATACACAAGTCGCAACAATAACACGAGTGATGATGTTTTTCGAGAAAACAATCTAACAGCAACCAGGGCGTCGACTTTACCAAAAAGCAAACGTGTCGAGGCGAGAAAGACTTGGAAAATTTTAATGTACAATAAAGATAGGAACACGACGAATAGTATAGATGTGTTGACTGATGTCGTTGATAATAATCAGTCCAAGGATAATAAAGAAAAGGTGGAAATTTGACAAAGAACCAGTTTGGATGATGCTTTTGATGATCGGAGTGGCTTTGGTTATATATTCTGTAGGTGCTGTTCGAATAGAAGAACTATGCCAGTGGACACGGTGTAAAGGGATAAAAAAAACATTTAGGTAACTCGAATGTAACAAAATTACTTTTGTTTTGTTTTTTTTTTTTAAATTTAATGCGTACAATTTTAGTATTTGCTAAGTTGCCGTTCCTGGTGGAAAAAGTATGCCAAATTTTGTACATACTAATTAAAACGTAACATTGACGTTAATTATGCGCAACATCTTTTTACATAAAATTGAATCCTATCAAAATATTTAAGCAAACTTTTGTTAAAAACAAGTGTTATGAATGGGTCATCATCTAAACAGAAGTTTGCTTAAAAGTTTTGAACAAACTAATGCTTATATTTCAATATACTCGGAGAAACGTAACAGTAACGTTAATTGTGTGAAACATTACGTAAGTGTTACGTAATCGTGTAAGTTACATTTCTAATTTCAATAAAATAAACGTGACAGCAGTCAATAAAGAAGATTTTAATTAGTGCAGTAAACGTAGAGCAAAAAAGGGTATAATTTCTGATTTTTTTTACTGTGCTCCAGTTTGTTGAATTTTTGGAATTAGGTTCACCCTCAAGTTCAAAAGTAAAAACAATGAGAAGGAGGGGACGACACCCCTTCTCAGTTGTGTAATTTTATTCTTTCAAAATAACGTCGGATATCGATAGAAGAACTGATTATAAGAAAAAATGTCTTTTAAAGTTTTTCAAACAAACTAATACTTTTCTAAAGTATTACTACTAAAGTATGCCAAATTTTGTACATGCTATCAAAAACGTAACATTGATATTAATTATGCGCAACATCTCTTTACGTAAAATTGTATCCTAACAAAACATTTAAGCAAACTTTTGTTAAAAACAAGTGTTATAAATGGGTCATCATTTATAATACTTGTTTTTAACAAAAGTTTTCTTAAATGTTTTGAACATATCCGGAGAAACGTAACAGCAACGTTAATTATGTGAAACATTACGTAAGTGTTACGTAATCCTGTATGTTACATTTCTAATTTCAATAACACAAACGTGACAGCAGTCAATAAAGAAGATCCTAATTATTAAACGTAGAAGAAAAAAGAAATAACCTCTGATTTTTTTACTGTGCTCCAATTTGCATGAAATTAGGTTCACCCTCAAATTCAAAAGTGAAAACAATGAGAAGGAGAGATGACACCCCTTCTCAGTTGTGTAATTTTATTCTTTCAAAATAACGTCGGATATCAATAGAAGAACTAATTATAACAAAAAAATGTCTTTTAAAGTTTTTCAAACAAACTAATACTTTTCTAAAGCATTACTACTGAAGTATGCCAAATTTTGTACATGCTATCAAAAGCGTAACATTGATGTTAATTATGCGCAACATCTTTTTACGTATGGTTGAATCCTATCAAAACATTTTAGCAAACTTTTATTAAAATTAAATGTTATAAATGGGTCATCATTTATAACACTTGTTTTTAACAAAAGTTTTCTTAAATGTTTTGAACATATTCGGAGAAACGTAACAGCAACGTTAATAATATGAACGTTACGTAAGTGTTACGTAATCGTGTAAGTTACATTTCTAGTTTCAATAAAATAAACGTAACAGCAGTCAATAAAGAAGATCCTAATTATTAAACGGAGAGGAAATGTGATTTTTTTTAAAATTTAGGGATTGTTTGAAGGGGTTGAAAATGATTTTATTGGAAGATAAATGTATTAAAAAATAATTTTTAATTATATCCTTTGATATTGAAATTGTTGTCTAGCGATAAAAGGGCTCAATGTTCAAATCCAAATTGTTTTCACTTTTGAACTTGAGGGTAAGATGAACCTAATTCCAAAATTTCTTACAAATTAGAGCACAGTAAAAAAAGTTCAGACCCAAAATCCTCCATTGACTGGAGTAAATATAAATATATATTTTTATGAATCTTTATGCTTTTTTTCTACTTCACCATGAAAATAAATTCGGGATGAATACTTTATCAAAAAGTTATTCTTTGTAATCGATTTATCAAATAATTATTTGATAAACAAGATAAATATATATATTAATAGGATATATATTATTATTATTATTGTTTAGCCAATTGTATATAGATCAACATATATGTCAATTTTTATAGTTAGTCTTTATGTAAATATGATTATTCTTCGGAAAAAAAATTTAATTCGAATGTGCTTCAATGTAAATTAATTAAATTTAACTTGAATAATTAATAATAAACGTAAAAATCTTATGACAAATTGAATGAACATATACAAATGATTTGTTCGATATACTGTAAAAGAATTTTAGATGATAAAAATATTTATGTTTAAGTGTATTATATAATTAAATGTGCATACTAATATTAATATATATAATTGTGGCATATAAATGAATTTTCTGTATGTGTGTGCAAGTGTAATTACATTGTAATTTAAAAATCATAAATAATATATTATTATCATTTAAGAATTCATAAATGTTAATAAATGTGACATCGAGAAGAAATTACTATACAAATTAATTAAATCAATAACGGGGAACATTTGTATATGTATGTTTAGGCTTTTAAATGTATTAAGATTTAATGTATAAAACAAATATGATTAAATATATATAAAAAATCAATTTTTAATAGATTTATTCTATTAAAAAGAGATTTTTTATATATGTTACAATGTACCTATAGCTTTAACTGTTTAGAAAAAATCTTCCTATCAACAATTTGACAAATATTATTATATATCTCTAAATTTAATTAATGCATTTGGAATTCTCGAAACGAGGATTAGAATGTTGTCGAAGGATCAAATATGTTACTATGTCAATTCTTAAAATTAAAATATAAATAGATACAAATTAAATAATTATGCAAAACAATTATACACATTACTTTAATTAATGGATATATGTTGTTGGATTGATTTGATAGGGCCAAATAGATAAAATATTAAAAAATACATAAAATTTGGATAAATAGTACATAAAGTTTACCTTATATCGATAAATCTATTTGGCACTATAGATTCAAATCAATAATGTACTACAAAAGAAACTATTTTTACATATCAATGTACTTTTACTGAGGAATAATTTATCACTGAGATGGTCCAATATCTATATTTATAAAAATATCAACAATTTACCCTTACGCTTGGTTTTATAAAATATTTAATCAGAACAAAAGGCTTTTAACCGATGGGTCTAGATTTATTTATTTATATATATAATTTTTATAATTTAATGTGTGATCAGCATTTATTTAAAATAAGTTTCTATATTTCTATGATGTTTATATAGGGTAATCCAAAAAATATATGTCATGTAATGAAAATATATGTAAAAAATTCAAGCAATGCACAACTCTACAATGTATCTCAAATTATATAGATGAACATAAAGTCTTATTCTATATTTGGGACTTTTAATAATGGGAAAGAGACATATTTTACAGGACTAAGATTTTGGTGCAAGTGTTATTATAAAATTGTGACAAAGGTTTTCATCAGTTTGAGTGGTTGTAATCTTATACAGTTAACCAAGTTTAGAAAATACATTTGCAACAATAGAAGTATATGTAAAATTGATATTTTATATTGATAGTGAAATTGATTGAATATAAATGATAAAGTTTATTGATTTATATTGAGAGATATGCTTAAATTATTTGTATATCACTTACTTGAGTTCAGCGTGAGTTTGCACAAGATTTTGCGGTTTCAGGAACAAATTGTCGAAAATCAACGATATCAAGTAGACATAAACCACTAAACAATCAAGTAATATATCTCTCATATTCAATTATTACGTTTTTAACTTAAAATAAAGCAGTTTATGCAAAGCGTTTTATGTATTTAACAACCATTTTAACAACTTGTTCCCTTCAGGTTGTGCAACTGTAAAATAAAATTGTGCAATTTTGATTCAACAATATATTTTCTTAGAATTGGAAAATTATACAAAAAAATGAATAAATTAGATATTTATCTGTTCTAGATATTAAATAAATATATAAAACGAATATAAAAATAAATTAAATAAATTTTGTTCAAATTTTGAATTTATATTACGATGGCAACACTGTTTTTGACGTTTAACTTCGCACGAAGGAAAAACGTTTCAGTAATGGACGACACTTGTCAGTGAACGTTAGATATAAAATAAGGTTGATTTAAGTGTTTTTATTTAACTATAATAGAATCTAATGTTGTCTTAAGTGTTTAATTGAAGTGTTGCACCTTGACATAATGTCAGTGTTAAAATTAAACGTCAAACATGTAAGTAATATACAAAATTACATCTTGAATACAATTTCAGTTGTGTAAGTGTTTTGATATAAATTACTTTTTTGTAGGATGTTTGACGTTATGGAAAGTATGTGGACATTTCCTTCATGAAGAAAAATGTATTTGTCACTGTACGAACATCAATGCTTACAAGGTAAGTCTTTTAGTTTTTATATTTATAAAAATATAATATCGAGATGTCAAAGATTTTTCTGTACTACTCCCCATTTGGAATTTTTACACAATGTCTTGTAGTACAATTCTTCTCCGATGTTGGGACAAAACGTACTTTCTGGTTGTCACGTTAAATAATAATTAATTGGTATCGATGCATTTGAACTTTAATTTCTGATCTGCTATTGTTAGTCAGGTGTGATGTTTAGGTTTTATATTTGTAATAATAATAATATCGAAATGTCAAAGATTATTCTTACTATTCCCCATTTGAAATTTTTTACACTACATCTTGTAGTACAATTCTTATTTGATGTTGGGGCAAAATATACTTTCCAGTTGTCACGTTAAACAATATTTATTTGTGGTATCGATGAATACGAGTTATAGTTTTTTGATCTGCTATTGTAAGGCAGGTTTGATGTTTAATTTTTATATTTATAATAAATATAGTATCGAGATGTCAGAGATTATTCTGAATTATTCTCCATTTGGAATTTTGACACAACGTCTTGTAGTACAATTCTTATTCGATATTGGGACAAAATGTACATTCGAGTTATCACATTAAACAATAATCAATTGGTATCAATGAATATGAACTATAATTTTATGATCTTTTAAGTATGATGTTTCATTTCTATATTTATAATAATTTTAATATTGAGATGTCAAGGATTATTCTTTGTTATTCCTAATTTGGAATTTTTACTCAACGTTTTGTAGTACAATTCTTATTCGATGTTGGGGGACAAAATGTACTTTCCAGTTCTCACGTTAAACAATATTTATTTGTGGTATTGATGAAAACGAATTATAGTTTTGTGATCTGCTATTGTAAGGCTATTGATATAATTATGATGATTATAATATCGAGACATCAATAATTATTTTTCAATTGCATTTGGAGTCTTGTCTCGCAATGCTTATTCGATGTTGGGGAACAAAAATAAACTCTCGATATCTTCTTATTATGAACTATAAATTGTGATCAGGCGACTATATGGTTTGTTTTTAATAGTATTGATAAATTTGAATAATTTGGTTTAATTTTTTCACTCTCCGTAGTCTTTACCTTCTATAAAAGGCTGTTTGCTTTACGTAATTGATAAAATTCCTTTTCTTTTAATACTAATGTCTACATTTGGCAAATTATTATTTGGCAAGTCATCTGTTTGTATTTAGACCTTTTATATTTATTATTTTATTGATTGGCATTATATCTACATTAGTGAATTGAAGAAAAACTTGAAAAATATCCAACATTTACAAGATATGACTTCATGTTTTTGTATTTATAATATTGAGACATCAAACTATTTATTATGAAAATGAAGAGATCAGTTGAAATTGATTTTGTATTGTTTTTAAATTGGAGGTTGTCCTTTGGCAATAATTCATTTATTTTGTTTTTGTACTTTGAACTGCAAATTAGAACTCCTGAGCTATTTTAACGATACTTATCAACGAGGGGACTTTTTAGGCTTTATTAGTTGTCCTACCTATATTTGATTTATTTTTATTATTAGAAACAATGCCCGAGAATAGATATTATCACTAGAAAACACATTTTATTTACTGGATAAGAAATTTTATATTGATTTTTAATTAGAACTCAAAGGTTGATCTTACAATCTTTATTCGATAAAATTATTATTATCATTTTTCAAACACCAATCAGAACTTAAGAGTTGAGCTATCTATATTTGATTTATTTTTAATATTTTAAAATTAGAGTTCATTTACTGGATAATTAATTGAAATTGGTCTTGTCTTGCAATTCTTGTTAGAACTTCTGAACTATTTCAATGATATTTTCCACCAGGAGGCTTTTTAGTCTTTATTGGTAGTCCTATTTATATTTGATTTACTTTTATTATTATAATTTTTAATGCCCGAGAAGAGCTATTTTCACTAGAACACATATTTTATCTACTAAATAAGAAATCTTATATTGATTTTCAATTAGATCTCAAAGGTTGATATCACAATCTTTATTCGATACAGTTTTTTTTACCATTTTTCAAACAGCAAACAGAACTTAAGAGTTCTATGAGCTATTGTAAATATACTTTCAAATAGTTGTCTTATCTATATTTGATTTATTTTTACTATTATAATTTATCTACTAGACAAGTAATTGAAATTGGTCTCGTCTTGCAATTCTTGATCAAGGTTGAAATAGAAAATATTATCAAGTTGAATAATATTTAAATAAGATATCTATAAAAGTGAACTATCAATTTCTTTTTAAGTTGAAATATTGCTGGGTAGATTTTGTTTATAAAAAATCAAGAATGTTTAAATTCTCTCCATAAAATTTTCGCTTTCTGAAGAATGCTCTCGGCTATATAATTCCATAAAAAAAATACATAATTGATTAATTTGTTTTCATTATAATATTTATCTCCATATTTGACAAACTCGACTTCTTTATATCTATTATATAATAGTTTGATTACATTATTAAAACACCAATTTGTATAAAATTTCAATTTTAATTATTAAAATATTATTACATCACATAAAAACTTGTTCAAAAATTACAAACGCGCTACATATATAAACATGCCTTACAAAATGCTACCGATATAAACATTCTCATAAAATGCAAATTTGTATAAATCTATTTATATATCTAACTTGTACAAAACTTTTTCAGAAAACTTTCAAAGTCTCTTGAAAAAACTCAATTAAAAATATAATCTAACTAGTATTGAAATATAATACCCTAATAGTAATAATACTTCACATATCGGAGACTGTAAAGATTGGCCAATTGTGAAAGATTTTTGTAGAGAATTTGGTGAATTTAATTTTGATAGTCTCTTGTGGAGGTTTTATCAGTCGCAGATAATTATGGCTTTGGTAATATATATATATATATATATATATATATTAGGGTGGTCCTTAAAATGGTCATTTTCGAATTTCCTTGCTCCCAGGGGCTCAAATGGTTCCAAATAGATAAAAAACAATCCTCTGAAAGTTTTAGCTCTTAATATTAACGTTTAGATAGAGCGCAATTCAATCAAAGTTTTGTATGGAGATAGCATGAAAAAAATTTCAAAAATTTTAAAAATGTTTTTTAGATGTAATTTAGCGAACAAATGAATAAATAAAACACATTCATTTGTCGCTAAGTTATACCTAAAACATTTTTTTTAAATTTTCAAAATTTTTTCCATGCTCTTTTCATACAAACTTTGATTGAATTGCGCTCTATCTAAACGTTAATATTAAGAGCTAAAACTTTCAGAGAATTGTTTTTTATCAATATGGAACCATTTGAGCCCCTGGGAGCAAGGAAATTCGAAAATGACCATTTTAAGGACCACCCTAATATATATATATATATATATATATATATTATATGCATATTTAATACAATAATCTTGATCAAAATTATTTCAATCAATAGTATAACAATTATTATAGAAGACATTAAAAATGCAATTTAATTGCAATATATTCGAACAACGTCGTTTACTCTTGCAAATTACATAGTAATTTACACATTACATTAAATATAAAATCTACTAAGCAACAATTATAAATTCGATATGTATAAAAAATATTCAATCGAACTTGAGAATGGGTAAAGCTATGCTAATAGTCATTATTAGATTGGTAATTATCTATATATTTATAGTTGTCGTTAAAACAAAGTACAACAAATGTTTTAGGAAAAATATATCGTTGAAATTGTTCTCTAATATTCGAGTTGCTTTATATACAATGTTCATCTTTGTCGTTTGATGAATCCTTTGTCGTCAACTGTTCTACGTATTGTCCAAGGAATCCGAGCCTAAGGAAAAAATAATATTATATTATTTATTATTATTTATTATTAACTTCCCGAAGGAGAAGTTTGTTTTCATCAAAAAATCCGATTCGCTAATTTTATGAAGCTAATCGAATGAGACCGAATTTGGAAAAAGTATGTGTGTGCGTGTATGTGAACAGATTTTTGCCGTAAATCGCCGTTTTCTCAAAAAACGGCTGGACCGATTTCAAAAATTTAAAAGCCATTCGATGTATATCGATGAGGACTATTGTTTGTCAGTTCTGTGCGACGATCGGCCAAGCCGTTTCTTCGTAAATAGCAGAAAAGTGAAAAGTTTTTCGTCCACGTTTTAGCCCACAATTCTAAATCGATTTTGAAAATTCAAAAATCGTTCGAAAGATATTGGTTGGAAATCGACCTGATTAGTTTTTGGTAGAGATCGGCCGGGCCGTTTTCTTGTAATAAGGTGTTAACAAAATTTTTTTCGTCGATTTTTATTATTATTTTTTTACGGTAGATACCATAGTCTTCTAGATCATACTAAAATATAACGGCCCTACGACAACTCGTTTAGCTTTCAAAATTCGTCAAAGTTTGCAAAAATTAGTATAATCTTTTTGGCATTTCATCGACGTTTGCTCAAAAACGCCTGAACCGATTTCAGAAATTTAAAAACCATTTGATGTATCTCGATGAGGATTATCGTTCTCAGTTTTGTGCGACGATCGGCCGAGCCGTTTCTTTATAATTTGGAAAAAAGTGTTAAACATTTCGTCCACATTTAAGCTCATACTACCGAACCGATTTTAAATAATCAAAAACTGTTCGAAAGATATTAGTTGGGAATGGTACTGATTAGTTTTAGGTGAAAATCTACCGAGCCGTTTTCTTGTAATTAACTGTTGAAAAAAAATTAAGCTGATTTTCATGGAACTTTTTGGGCGATATACAAGTATCATGGTCTTATAGAACTTACTGAAATATTACGGCCTTACGACAAGTAGTTTAATTTTAAAAATTCATCAAAGTTTGAGAAAATGAGTAGTTCTTTTGACATTTGTTAAAATTAAAATTAGACGATTTACTTGGTATAACAATAGAGTACTTGGTCTTAATGAACATACTAGACAATTAAAGTCCTACAAAAAACTGGCTCAATTATTAAAATTATTGATTTTTGAAAATTTGCTTTTAAAAAATACTCCGACCGGGTTGACGTGTTCGATTTTCAATAATGTTTAATAAATCCACTTCTAATACTTTTAACTACTCATAAATTAATTTATTTTTTATTGATTTAATCTATTATTTACACAAATCGGGAAGTTCATGTAACTTGTCTCAAGGCAAAAAACCAATACCAACTAGTTATTTATTCATTATATGTCCATTTACCTCTGTCCCATCTTAACTCTGTCTCCCGGTTTCAAAGCAAACTTAAAGTTAGCTGGTGCCTCGAAAACGAGCACAATGGTCGATCCCATATTGAAATGTCCTATCAGCTCTCCTTTTCCAAATCGAATCTCACTTTTGATGTTGCATTCGTTGCAATGTTCTCGTGGAGGTGGTTCATTGATTTTTGGTCGATTTTTTAAAGTCGGTAACGTCGAACGCCAACCTCTCCATCGGTTTGTGGATAAAGTTTCATCGGCGTAGACTTTTACTGATCCTACATTTGTAGCACCTGGGGGATAAAGGACAAGTGGTATTAATAAGTGAAATGAGGCAGGTGTAAATTAAGGTACTGAGGATATTTTGGGAAAAGTAATGTGACATAAATTCAAAAAGCACGATTTTTTGAGAAATTTTGTACCTAAGGTCATAAATTGAGTTATCAAGGTTCTAAAATATATGAAATGTTCTAATATGTGTTTGATAGGGGTCTATAGGTCCTAAATAGTAACTAACAAGTACATATAGGTCTAAATAAGGTTTATTTTTTTGACTCGGACAATCACTCAAATTTAATCACCAATTAAAAAGATTCGACTTCAACAGATTGACAGACTTGATGGCAATTAAAAATAAATACAACAAATATGTAGAGTTCTCAGAAATAAATTGAGGAAAACCAAATAATGGAGAATTGGGAAATACATTCATAAACTATTAAAGAAATTTATTTTTTATTTCACTTATCAGAACCAGAACAGACTAAATTCTTAAGACACTCGGTTTATGTACTTCTTCTATATAATTATAGATATCTCAAATATTTTTGAGAAAACTCATTGATTTTAGTATTTGTTGTTAAAGTAGACATGTCAAAGTATAACATATTAAAGTTTCGACTTTTTACACTGTTTGTTTTTCCGTTTAAATCTAAGTATCTCGAATATTTTTAAGAAAACTCATAGATTTTAGTATTTGTTGTCATAGTAGATATATTAAAGTAAAACATACTTAAATTATTACTTCATACAAAAATCGAAAGTATTTTTAAAAATTATATCTTTTCTACTATAGATATTCTTATGGAAGGCTTCTAGGTACTTTTTTCATATGTTTCTAAATATCTTAAATATTTCTGAGAAAACTCATGGATTTTAGTATTTGTTATCATAGTAGACATATTAAAGTATAAAATACTTAAATTACAACTTAAATGCAACGAACGAAAGTATTTTTTAAAATTTACAACTTATTTACTTTTGTTCAGGAGTATTTTTTATCGAAGGCTTTGTGTACTTTTTTCATATAATTCTAACTATCTCAAATGTTTCTGAGAAAATGGATTTTAGTATTGTATTGTTGTCATAGTAGACATATTAAAGTATAACATACTGAAATTCTAACATTCTACAACGAACGAAAGTACTTTTAAAAAATGTTTTTTTCCTACTTTAGCCTTTCCGTTGTCATATGCTTTTATGTACTTTTTTCATATAATTCTAAATATTCGAATAATTCTAACAAAACTCATCAATTTTAGTATTTGTTGTAAAGTAGACATGTTATAGTATGATATTAAAATTTACAACTTTTTAGACTAATTTTTAAAATTGCAACTTTCTACTTTAGCTTATGGGTATTGTTATCGAAAGCTTTCATGTATTTTTTTTGCATAATTAAAAATATTTCAAATATTTCTAGGAAAACTCATCGATTTTAGTATTTGGTGTTATAGCAAGCATATTAAAGTATAACATACTAAATTTGCAACTTACTACAACAAACAAAAGTATTTTTAAAAAATTACAACTTCTCTATTTTAGTTCGAGAGCATTTTCAGGCTTCTATGTACTTTTTTATTATTGTCATAAATATCTCAAATATTTCTGAGAAAACTCATCAATTTTAGTATTTGTTGTCATAGTAGACATATTAAAGTATAACATACTTCAGTTACAACTTAATACAACAACTTGAAGTATTTTTAAAAAATTACATCTTTTCTACTTCAGTTCGTGAGTATTTTCTGGCTGTTATGTACTTTTTCCTTATTGTCATAAATATCTCAAATTTTTCTGAGAAAACTCATTGATTTTAGTACTTGTTGTCATAGTAAATATATTCAAGTATAACATACTTAAATTGCAACATTTTACAATAAACGAAAGTATTTTTTAAAAAATTACATTTTTTTTACTTTCGATTATGGGTATTTTTATCAAAGGCTTTCACGTACTTTTTTCGTATAATTTTAAATATCTCAAATATTTCCGAGAAAACTCATCGATTTTATTATTTGTAGTTAAAATAGACATATTAAAGTATAACATACTAAATTTGCAGCATTCTACAAGAAACAAAAGTATTTTTAAAAAATTAAATTTTTTCTACTTTAGCTTATAGGTATTTTTATCCAAGACTTTGTGTACTTTTTTCGTTTGATTCTAAATATCTCGAATATTTCTGGGAAAACTCATCGATTTTAGTACTTGTTGTCATAGTAGACATGTTAAAGTATAACGTATTAAAATTACAACTTTATGCAACAAAGAAAATATTTTTTTTTTAAATTAAACTTTTATACTTTAGTTTACAATTATTTATACATCAGGCTTTCATGTACTTTTTTCAAATAAATACAACTTCATAGAAAATCTGCCTAAAATCAACAAGAAGAGAGAAGTACAAATTTTTTAAGGCTGGGAATAAACAGCTTATTTTTTCAGTTTCTGCATAATTTAAAAGAAATTTAATTAATCTACGTTTGTGCATTATTAAAATTAAATTCTACCAAACCAACCAAAAATATTAATTAATAATGAATGCTTTATTAAAGTTGAACGTTTGTAAAAAAATGTTTTTCATCCACTATTGATAAAAAAAAAGTTTAAAAATTACTTAACTTTGCAATTCTGTTAAATCAAAAAATGTCTACTCTCAAATTCATTTATGAAACACAAGAAAAGTAGCAGGTTTGGGGTATTCAACAAATTTTTTGATTGATATTTTTATTACTTACCTACGGCTGTAAAGCTAAAGAAACCATGTTTCCATGTTCCAACATAATGAACACGTTCGTTAAGGCAGAAGAGTCCAGGGACCCAATTTGCTATTTTTGGATTCACTGATAATAATTCACCAGGAACATGCCGTCTGAATACAGGGTTCCACACTAAAACAGAATAATAGATTTATATATTTATAAATATTTCGTGAACTATCACTTATCCTATATTTTTTACTCACCTGTTGGTGAATGGAATCTATGATAATCCCCTGGTGCCAAATAAATAACACACTGATACAATGCAGAGCTTCCATCTCGACTGTGCATAACCGTCCTGTGAAACGGATTGTCCACATTTGAAATTTTCGTTGAACTAAATTTATTCACATCGATGACTTTCATATCATTTGTTTCATCTAATTTTTCATCTGCTTGGCACCACGTTGGAGGACCCAGAAAACAGTCCAGTTTGTAAGAGACTCCTGGGGGAATAAAAAATATATAAGAGGATGATTTTATTATGAGAAACTATTATGTTACCTTTGACTTGTTCGATGTATGCTCCATCAGCAACTCCACAATGCAAAACTGTGCCATCGCAAGGTGAAATTAAACAACTATTTGGATCTATGGTTCTGGCATCAGGTTTTAGTGGACGAGAGAAAAATGATGCTAAACTCCTAAAACAAACAGTTATAATTCATTGATTCAAGTGCTGATAGATACATTTATGTATCTATATTTTACTTACCTATATTGTTTGAAATCTGTGACTAGAGCTTCTTGCATATTGACCCCAAAGGCACTGGCGTAGCACCCATAAACGACTGGTCTTAAAGGTGTAGGAACTCGACAATCAGCCAACCATCCAAAACATCTCGAGAACATTCTCAGAGGCAACGATGTGTAGCATTGTATCTATTTAGGGAAATATTACAAATTTGGTCATTGATAATGGATAATAAATATAGAGTTGTTTTTAATTGAATCTAATTTTTGATTTTCTAAAAATCAAGACTTATCGAGCTATGGGAGTCTTCAAAAAAAAAGCAAAACATAAGTGTGCATGCTTTTAGGTGATTATTTAAAAATTTTTAATCCTTAAAGCAACACAAATATATATGTAATACCAGAAATAAATAAATGAACATATATATATATATATATATATATATATATATATATATATATATATATTAACATATTTTATGAATGACTAGAAAAAAGTTTTATTTAAATAAAATTTATTAAAATGTTAATTTTGTTACTAAATTTCGCTATTGATGACACAAATTAAGAATTCGAAACATTTGTAATTTATCACTTTATTATTATTATAAGAAAGGGTGTAGTGTTTTTTTTTTCAATTACACAATATATAGATATATCTATTATGATGCTGAAGTAGAGTTCTAGATTTTTTTTAAATATTTTTGTCCGTTCTATATTGTTAAAATTTTAGTACGTTATACTTTTACATGTATACTATGGCAACAAATACTAAATTCCATGAGTTTTCTCAGAAATATTTGAGATATTTGTGATTATTTGAAAAAAATACATGATGAAAGCTTTAAGTGAATATAATCGTAAACTGAATTATATAAGTTGTAATTTTTTTAAAATACTTTCGGACTTTGCATAAAGTTGTAAGTTAAGTATGTTATACTTAAATATGTTTACTATGACAACAAATACTATAATCGATATGTTTTCTCAGAAATATTTGAGATATCTATGACAATAAGAAAAATGTACATAAAAGCCTGAAAATGCTCACGAAATAAATTATTAAAGTTGTAATTTTTTTAAATGATACTTTCGGTTGTTGCATGAAGTTGTACTTTAAGTATGTTATACTTTAATATGTCTACTATGATAACAAATACTAAAATTGATAAGTTTTCTCAGAAATATTTGACATATTTATGACAATACGATAAAAGTACATGAAAGCTTGAAAATGCTCTCGAACTAAAGTAGAGAAGTTGTAATTTTTTAAAAATACTTTCGTTCATTTTAGAAAGTTGTAATTTAAGTATGTTATACTTTAATATGTCTACTATGACAACAAATACTAAAATCTATAAGTTTTTTCAGAAAAACTTGACATATTTGTACTTATACGAAAGACGTACATAAAAGCCTTTGACAAAAATACAAAACACACAGATTGAAATAAAAGGTTTTGAATTTTAAAAATACTTTCGGTTGTTGTGGAGAATGTTGAAATTTTAATATATCATATTTTAATATGTCTACTATGTCAACAAATACTAAAATCGATGTGTTTTTTCAAAAATATTTGAGATATTTGACATTATATGAAAAAAGTTCATGTAAATAGTCACAAAGGTCAGAAGGAAAGATGCATTTTTTTATAAACTTTCGTTTGTTGTAAAATGTTGTAATTTTAGTATGTTATACTTCAATATCTCTACATTAACAAAAAACATTAAAATTAATAAGTTCTCTAAGAATTTTTCAAGATATTTATGCTTTTATAGAAGACGTACTTCAAAGTCTTCATGGACTTATAGACTGAAATATTTTTATATAACAAAAAAGTACATAAGAAAATATTTTAAAACTATTTTTGTTTGTTGTAAAATATTGTAATTTATATATAATATAGCTGGTATTACATACAGCATGCAAAATTCAAAACACAATCACTGAATGATTGCATTGTTGCATTTGCAAATCGTAAAACAAATTAAAATGGAATATGAATTCATTTAGCACATGCAGTAATTAAAAAATGTATTATGCATATATATATATATATATATATATATATATATAAATATCAAACAAGTGCTCAAATAAGATATTTCATTATCTTTTAATATTTAAGTCCTATAAAAATTTTCTTTGTTAATGCACAAAACCAATGTGAATGACACGAATCTACCCTGATGAATATGTGTGTAACGATTCAACAAAAAATCTAGACGCAATACAAACACAAAAACCAAAACCAAGACGACATGACTGTGTGATTGATTTGAATCAACTATTGATTAAAACTAATATTAATGGGGCAATTCTGCCGCAACAGAGCATATAAAATATCGATGAGTATTCCCAGAAAAATTTAAAATATTTGTAAATATTTGAAAAAAGTAGCTTTCATGTAGCTTCAGGTGAATATGATCATAAACTATAGTTATAAAGTATAAAAGTTGAATTTAAAAAAAAAAATCCTTTGTTGCATAAAATTGTAATTTAAGTATGTTATACTTCAATATGTCTACTTTGATAACAAATACTAAAATCTATGAGTTTTCTCAGAAATATTTGAGATATTTTCAGAAGCCTGAAAATGCTCACGAACTAAAGTAGAAAAGTTGTAATTTTTTAAAAATACTTTCGGTCTTTGCATAGAGTTGTAATTTAAGTATCTTATACTTTAATATGTCTACTATGACAATAAATACTAAAATTCATGAGTTTTCTCAAAAATATTTGAGATATTGATGACAATAAGGAAAAAATACATAAAAGTCTGAAAATGCTTTCGAGCTAAAGTAGAAAAGTTGTAATTTTTTTAAAATTACTTTGGGTAGTTGCATAAAGTTGTAATTTAAGTATGTTATACTTTATTACGCTTACTATGACAATAAATACTAAAATCGATGAGTTTTCTCGAAAATATTTGAGATATTCATGACAATAAGGAAAAAGTACATGAAATAACGTTGTCATGGCACCGCTCTCTTATGGTAGTGGACTCTGTGAAAATGTCTAACTATTTGCTGTGCGATCAGGCGTATTTTATATATAAACAAGCAAGGAAGAATGTTATGATAACAGAATTCTAGATCTTGCAGTTATCATAAGATTGCTCCTTGCTTGTTTATATGTGAAATACGACTGATCGCACAGCAAATTGATAGACATTTTCATTTCAATTGCAAGAACAAGCATAATAGAGGGTTGTCATGACAATGCTATTTTATAAGCTCTGTTGCGGCAGAATTGCCCCCATAAGATAGAAGCTGGCAATGTGTTCGAAAGATGCAATTGATAATGCATCCACCAATATTGCTTACTTCCATTTTATAATCTAATTTATTAAAAAACTAATATCACCGTATTTCATCCGACACACATATATAGATAGATAGCAATATCCGCTTTATTCCTGTATGTAAACTCAGAACAGTTTAGATTAGACCCTTTGCTCTATTCCTTTCCCCCGACTGACCTCAAAGTCGCTAGCAGTCTTTACATCGGCTCCTCCATCCTTTCTCCTCGATCTCCATTGCATGGCGACAATCAGACAGATTCCCAAGGGGGTCCATCTGGTGAGGACGCCTCTCCAGGTCACCCATCCCCCTGCGGCTAAAATCCACCAGTCGAAAACGGATAGAACACTTCTCCATTTCCAACTTTTTGTCATACCTTTTGTCAACGTACCACCACCACCTTGCTGGTTTCCCGAAGCATTCGTTGACCCAGTAGTACTGAAATGATGGATTCTAGTGCCATTGCCATTGTTGAGGCAGTGCTTCTGGGCACAGCTCTGGTTGATCTCGTTCCAGGCGTACTTCTTGAGACTCTTGAAACTACCCACATTCTTCACACTAAAAATAGAAACAAAATTAGATATATATATATATATATATATATATATATATATATTTGTAATTTTTTGCAGTTCAATCGTCGAATTAAAAAAAAGATTAAATAACAAAATTATTTATTCCATTAAACGTTTCGACATTTGATGTGTGTCCTCATTCAGTGATCTAAAAAACATATTGCATAAATACAAAGATGATAATAAATATAAATATATAAAACGGAGAAATTATACATACCAAACCAGGAAAAACAACAGAAAAAAATAATTATGATGTAAAATGATTGAACACTAAATTTGTGTAAAATAATAATATAATATACTATTATATTAACAAACGAGTCATTGAGGAAGCACATATTGCCTCCTATATTTTATGTTATTAATAGCGGTGCATTATGAACACTGATCAAGGTTACAAAGCAAGTGTAGTGATGGAGTGAGAAACGAAAGGGGAAAGAGAAACAGAGAAGAAATATAACAAACGAAAGATTCTAAAAAATGTATAGAATTACTTTCATGAAATTAATGATGACTTTGTAACTGTCATGTAAGAGATGAGAGGAATTACGTTTGTTGACACAAGAAGTATTAAGGGATATAAGTAAAGACTAAGCTATATTTCTAAGGTCACAATTTTTTTTTCAATGTAAAAGATGGAAGGATTTGACATGTTAAAAGTGTGGTTCAGGTTTATCATATGTTCTGAAAGCATCGTTTTGAATTGATTTGGGTTTCTAGAATTATAAATATGTTGATTAAACCTCTTGTATATATGGGAACTTTCACCAATGTAACATCTATTGCAATCATTGCAGTCCAACCTGTAAACAGAATCAATAACCCTATCAGCGGGAGTTTTTGATTTAAGTCTTTCCCCTTTCGTTTCTCACACCCTGCTCCACTCCGTCACTAAACTTGCTTTGTAACCTTGATCAGTGTCTATAATGCAACGCTATTAATAACATTATAGGAGGGCAATATGTCTCCCTCATTTCTTGTTGTTAATAAAACAGTATATTATTATTTTACACAAATTTAGTGTTCAATCAATTTTACATCATAATTATTTTTTCTATTTTTTTTCTGTTTGGTATGGATAATTTTCTCCTTTTTATATATTTATATTTATATAAACTTTGTATTTATGCAATATGTTTTTTTAGATTACTGAATGATAACACACATCAAGTGTCGAAACGTTTAATGGAATAAATAATTTTGTTATTTAATCTTTTTTTTAATTCGATGATTGGGCTGCAAAAGTATTACATATGTATCAACATCGATTTGAAGAAACTTTGTCAAAGAAACCATAGCTCTGAAATGAATTTTAAGCCAACCAAAATTTCAATAATTTTTTCTCTACAAATATCTAAAGTTCAAGTTTTTCATCTAATTTTCATCTTATTTATTTTTATCCAGTTATATATTTAAATTCACTAATCACTAATAGTTGTTTGATGCAACAAAATTACTAATTATTTTTAACTTTAAATGAATAGGTAAATAATAAACAACAGGATTTCATAATCACCTCATGTTTTGTTTCATATAGTTTTCTAAAAGCACTTTAATTTTTAAATAAATATAAATGTACTAGTTAACAAGGTTTATATGTTTACTGTTCTTTAAAAAACAATATTTACTTTTATTTTATTCTACAATCACATATAATTCTTGGCTTATGAAAATCAGTCTGAAA